AAAGAGTGAAGTGGATCTAATGTTGTTGTAATCCTTCACATTTAAGGCTATGTTATGTACATCCTACAAGGCCAAGTAGGATTGCAACTACACCAGATTGTCAATGAAATGCCTTGATCCTCTAAGATATCATGTTATAGTATTCTCTTGTGGCTCTGCCAACTCATATTTCAACATGAGTTGTTCAAATTTAGCGGTGTACTCCGTGAATAAATCGATTTGTCGTAAAATGGTGAAACATAAAAAAAAATATCATGTAGTGCGTTGAGAGATATTTACGTTGCATCTCATTCATCTTAACAAGATCTTATTTTCTCTTCAGGTTGGCGCGAGCGCTTTATAATTTCACAATATAAGGAAGCACACTTTCTGAGTTTAATAGCAGTCAAATTAACATTTTTTTATAGGGTTGAATTAATTTATACTCAAAGATTCAATCCATAGTTTGAAAACACTCAATAAACTTAACCAAATCCGTATTGCCATCAAATCCGTTAAATCAATCTTCACCCAAAATCGCTTGCCCTTCTTATGTACTCAATACAAATGGATGAGATATTGACTTTTCGTCACTTGAGACTGCTTGGTAGAAGAGATTTGTTTCATCTTTTTCATCTAATTGCTCATCATTGTTGCTAAGGGTTTTCCTGAGTTGTTTTTGTCTCAAAATCAGCAAGCCTACGTTGTAATTGAAGAATTCTCTTTTTATATTTTCATCACAAAGCTCTTGAACACCTCTTTAAGAATTTCTCCTTAGCAACATATTAGATCTCCTCCATGCAGAGCTTCGAATAGAGGTAAAAAAGGGGTTTTAAGGTTGGCTAAAGATGAGAGGAGATAGGATTTTGGGTTTCAAAAAAAAAAAAAAGTTGTTTAATCTGTTCTAACACCACTAACACCAAATGACACTAATCTAAGATTTTTAAATCTTATAAAAAGATTAATAAGTGAATTTCTATGGTTCTAAGAGATGAGAAAATGAAAAAAAAGGAAAAATAAATGTTTCTTGTGGGAAAAAGATCAAGGAAACACCTTACAAGCAAATATCAGCGAGGCACAAATGTCAAAAAGGATCCACCACATGTTCTCAACCAAGCTGCAGACACACTACTTGACAGAGAATAAGGATGTAGCACTACAGGAGGAAATTTTCAAAAATAATAATCTCCAAATAGCATAAAATCCAATCAAAAGTCCCCTAATAATTTTTAGATAACATAATTATACTAAGAGAAATAAAAACCCTAATTCTATCGCAAATAAATATAGTAAGAGGCCCCAAGAGCCGGCCCGCCCATTTGAGAGGGAAAAATCCTATATGGAGTTATATTGGGTTGGAAATACTACCCAATCCCACCTCTCCTCCTAGTTGGGTGAGAGTCCCGCATCAACGTAGATTCATTTAATCAAAACTTTAATTGTTTGGCATAATGAGACAATGCTTACATGACATGAATTGGCATTCAATCATTATTCAAAGGAAATTAAGACAAAACAAACACCAAAAACCAACTTGAAGTATTCTTTTTAAAATATAGTGATACATACATTTAAAGTAAGCAGCCCTTTGTTAAAGATCATTAGATTGGTTGATAAAGAAGAGAAAGCTTCCAATGACTTATATCGATGAAGTGATAGATAGAGCCAAAGAACCAACTAGTACAATTTTTATCAAAAGTAATAAATAAGAGCAAATATTTATTATTAATAATAAAAGAAGACAAATGCAACTCCATCGTCCTTTGCATGCAGCCGCATAATTCTTAATTCATCAATACTTTTTACTATTTTTGCAGCCGCATAATTCTTAATTCATCAATACTTTTTACTTAACCCTGCCAATGCAAAAGAAAAAAAATATTTGATGGATTATACACAGAATTGGTGTGGATTAGCTAAAGATATCAATCAAGAAGACAAAATTAAACAATGAATTGAGTGTATATGTTAAAGGTGAATAATTTTTTGGTATTCCTCATGTAAAACAAATGACCACACGAGCACTTCAAAAAATAATTTTACTAAAATATAATTAATATTAAATAATATTTTGATAACTATTAAATACTTCTAGTTGATTGGTGACTAACCTTCACAGTTATGCAATTAAATGCTTAATATTTCCTTTATTTCATTTGGATGAGAATGCAATTGGAATGTATTTGAACATATAGGTACAAAATAAAATTGTGATTTGATTATTATCATGAAACTTTGTAATTTAATATTTTTATTTTAACTTCATAGAAAAAGAAGCGAGATAGTCATAATCACTTCAAATAGTTAGATTGTATGAAATATCACAGGACCTTCATTCAACAATATAATCATCATGACAATATTGACCCTCTATAAAGAATATAAATAATGTTAATTAACAAGAAAAATGGATCATGAGTCAACTAAAGATAATGAATTAGTTATTAGTGAGGAAGATTTGACATAGAGTACTATCACAAAAACCGCTTATGTTTATGAAAGAAACTATAATATTCAAAAGCTTAACATTGTTGCAATTGAACATAAAAATGATGAAAGTGATGAAAAAGATAATGATGATATCAATGAAGGATGAAAGACTTTTTAACTTGTCATGATTGATGATTCTAGAGATGACATGTTTATTTTCTTAAAAAATAATTAAATTTGAAAAAAAATATATTTTACATTAATTGTTTGAGGCCGTGATTGTCATGATAGATTAGCTTTCAATTTAATTGCATTTTAAATTTAGTTACATTTGTATTCATAACTTTTTTATCATCATTATGCCAGGTTGACATTTATATGAAATGTGCTCATTAGATGTCATATTTTCATCCTTTTTATGTTCATTTTATGTTTTTTTGGAAGGTTTTAGTGGTGTATTCTAGAACACAGGGAAAAGAGGTTAATTGGAGCTCGAAATATCTCAAAATGGCACAATGCTAGAGGGCAATGCCAATGCGTCTAAGGAAGATCAATTCCAGAAAATTTCGCCCCCAAACAAATCTTGGAAGGTAGGCGCCAGGAGCTCAGAAAGTAAGCGTCAGTGGAGTAGGAGAAAAATTTACGTAGGTAAGACGTACGCAGTGCTGCGTACGTTGGGAAGGTTATTAAGAGGGTATTGGGGGTTATATCCGCGTTATACCCCCTGTAAACTCCTTGTAACCTGCCTGTAACCTACAAATATATGAAAACAAGAAGCGCGGAACTTACTAGAAGGTACAGGTAGTTTACAAATAAGTTACAGAGAGGTTACAGGGGGTATAACACCGATATAACCCCCTAATACCCTCTTAATAACCTCCCTGACGTACGCAGCGCTGCGCACGTATGTAAATTTTTCTTGTGGAGTAGTGCCTAAGCGCCCGAAAAAGGCAAGGAGCATCGTGCAAACGGGATGGCTGGAAAGTAGGATCGATTGCCACAAAGGTTTCGTCCAGAATATAGTGTATGGAATATAGATGTCGCGGCTGCAACAAGTAGACGATAAACCTAAAGTGCCTAGGCAACGCATATGGGCGCATAGACACCGCATATGGGGGCCTAGGCACCCAAAGCCATAAAAACAGACTTTGTGTCTAGCGCTTAGGTGTCGTAGACCATTGCATAGGTGTCATTTCACACAATTTGACTGTTTCTGTAGTAAAGCCACGACTCCTCGTCGAGAGAAGTATATAAAGGCCTAATACAAATGAATAGGGGTCGGGTCAGCCTGCGTGAGCTTAAGAAGTAGGCCAGGGAAGATCTTCAAGGTGCTAGTGAGAGAAGGAGATTGATTGTAAGATTTTAAGTTAGTAAACATGCTGGTTGAGACTTCATTATCCTATTCTAATAGGAACGAGATAAGTACATTGAAGTTGTTATTTCTTTGGATTTCCTTTGTAATGCTATTGTGTATGATTTCTCTTCAATATATAAGTTTGTGTTGATGAGTTTAGTCATGATTAGTAAGTAATTCTTTTATTTCTTCCTTGAATTGAAATTGTGGTTGGATAGAATAAGTTAAGTTTGTAATTTGCAATGGAATTTTCTTTAAAGTGATGTGTTAGCCTTAATGCCTAATTTACTTTCTTTTTGGCCAGTAGAAATCTTAAATGTCATAGTGAATCTTGAGATCCGAAAGGATAATTAGTGGAACGAAGGGGTTAACTACATAGATTTAGTGGAATATGAATATTGCTCCTAAGTTTGTGCAAACATTTAGAGAGATGTTAATTTGTGGGCTGATCATGGAATTTAGAGAACTAAAATTGTGACAATCAGTCTTTCTTAAACTTCTTAAAGGGGATAAAGAAAAATTAGCTCCTGTTTGACACTATAAATTTTATCGTTTTCTTTATTCTATTCACCACTAGACCAATTCAAGGAAGAAATCTCTCATATATTGAAACTCTTAAAAACTTCTCCTTCTAGCTTAGGTAGTCTTATTTTTAAACAAGAATTAGATTAGAAACTTTTCTTAACTCGAAAATTTTTTACCATTCAAGCTAAGTCCAACATTAGCAAACTAGAACTTTTTCAAGTTGGAATTTAGCCTGCTCCCTGTACACGGAAAACACTTCAGTATACTATTGATACAACACGTATAAGCGTCGCAACACTTGGTTCGTATCGCATATGTTATGGCTCCGCAGAAATATTAATGCGATTATGCGATATTCAACATTAATAAGAATAATGTTGATTGCAACTAGCAAAACAAGATCACATTGATCAATCAAAAAAACCAATGAGATTGAGTTAAAAAATAGAAATTCTCAAAGCAAATATCCATGGTTAAGAATAACAAAACCATATGAGATACTAATCTCTAAAGATTATTTCTGCATCTCAAAAACACATTAGAGAATGAAGCTACCACTGCAAATTCATCATAAAATTAAAAAAAACCAATATTTTGGGTTGAAATTTGATAAATGCCCGAACTTATTAGCAAATGAATAGCCGGCTAGCATTTCATGTCCAAGCACGTATTTCGCTAAAAACCAAGCGCAAAACCACAAAAGGAAACAAACCTGAAATCCAAATGCATAGTGCAATAAATCAAGCATATCAGGTTTCCTAGCAGGCGGAATAAAAAAATCATCAGGAAGCTTGGGTAAGCCCCTATGGTACTTGAGCGATGACATTGCAGCTTTAACCTGAAGATAGGATTAATAAGGAGATAAAACACAAAAGAAGGAAAATTAACAAAGAGAGTAAACAATGGCTCACCTCAGGACAAGAAGTGATGACATTTGTCATAGATGGTGCATCCAAAGGAATGATATTATATGGAACCACATCTTCTGACATTGCTGCATCTGCCTGCATGACTCGTTTCATCTGATATAAATCAAACATATTAAGGACCATGTTAAGCGTTTGCAACATAAAGTTTTAAGGAAATGTTCAATGAAGGTTATCCAAAGAAACAATAAAAGTTGGCAGCCATGCCAATTGTCTCCTGGTAATTCTGTTATTAACTAAACCATTCTCATTAAAGAAGAACACAAAACCTCTGCAGAGATTAATCTTTCAGCTTGGTCAGGTGATATCTCTCTCGTAAGATCTTCAACAACCGTTCCCAGAACCTTAAGTGTAGCAAATATTTTCTTCCTTTTTAAAGTCTTACGCTCCAACCTATTTAACAAGCTAAAAATGTCAAGATAGCAATAAAAAATAAAAAAGCATGTAACAGAAATGTATAATATTTTGCCAGTCTACTATACACCAGAAATCCCAATAAATACCATATTTTAACTTCAAAGTTCGATCCTTAGCTAAGAATATCTCACCCAAGCAAAGAATACTTCAAAGTTCGATCATTAACATGATTAGTAGCCATTGTTCCCGGAAAAAAAAAATTTAGAGTAGATTTATGGAATTTACAATTATGGAATTAAATTAACTAGATTGTCAAATTCTAAGAGCACTTTATATCAATAAAAATAGCAGGTCTATGTAAACTATTATCACATTATAAAAAAAATGTATGCAGTACAAAAATAAGATATTGCTTTCAAATAGTGTATCAAACAAAATTGGCAATTAGCAGATGCATTGTTACCAAGAGAAAACCAAAAAGACAGTTCAAAAATTGATCTTCCACAACAGTTCCATCCAAGGAAACTCAAGCCAGAAACGTGAGGATTAGCTCAACTTTATTAAATAATAGATATGTCTTCCACCTTCAATTACATTTATTTATAATGTATGAGATCATGGATTAATTTCTAAGTTTCTTTTTTTCAACTATAATGGAAGGCTGGTCAAGCTAAGAGAACTCAATTTCTAAAACTCCATGTGGTAAAGCCAATCATTTGATTCATTCTTTGAAATTGCAAAATTTAAGGCTCACCATGAGGCATGCCTCAGGGTGAGGCACTTACAAAGCGCCTTGAAACATTGCACAATGGGAGGAAGAGGCTTACGGCTCAATATTTTGGCACACAGAATGAGGCACACCTTGAGGAGCATTTGATTAGACACATGCCTATATTTTAGGATTTGTAAAAAAGATCTGGAGGATGATAAAGATAAATTGGTGATTAATGATGTGTCATCGGATGATTAAAAGTTTCACCATCACAATTATAACAAGAAGAACAGGATGCTAACTTGTTCAATGAAGGAACAAGAACATCAAAAGTAAAAAAAAAAAAAGGATATATTACTATAAACATTTATACAATAGAAACCATAAAATGTAAATATAGTCACTATTTACGATAACATTCTTATTTGATATTATCAATTAACAAAGAGTAAGGTGATGGAGATTAAAGATAATGAAGAATACTAAAAAAAATATTGCTACTAAGGAAGAGGGCGGCAATAAATAATCAATTATGATTATGATTTTAAAAAGACCCCTCTAAGAGATGACAGTGAGAGGGAGTGAGATAGACTTTTTAATTCAAAGTTCCAAGTCATAACTAGTTTATTTTAGATTTATTGTTTATGTTAAGACTTCTTTCTTGCTATTGGGTGCATGGATGACTTTCTATAATGTTAATTCAACATTTTTAGATCATTCTTACATGCTTTAAAAGGTTGAAATTGAAATCAAACTTTCATGATGTTATTATAATCAAGTCCAAACAAGGATTGTGTACTCCTAAACATTTTATTTTTCATATTTAAAATTAATCTAATGGTTTAACTTTGAGGCTTACATCTCAAAACGACTTGAATTCGCTTCACATAAAAAACACCCCCAACGCCAAATTGCACACTTTTAAACCATGATTTGATGCAGCTATGCTATGGCCAATCAATGCTCAAGTGACCAGCAAAAGTTGATAAAGATGGCCGAATTTAGTCGACCACAGTGATGCAAGTCAACTTCCTCTTGGTAGTCCACCCAATGTGCTTCATTTATCTACCCACCAGAGTGATGGCAAATATGGATGCCTGTAGATACTTTAGCTATCATAGCTTGAAACTCCTAGCACATGGCTCCTTCTATAAAGAAGATTTGCCATTGAATTTAGGGTCAATTCTGGAATTAAGAAAATTCTTTCCTCCGCTGCTCAAGCAAATTGTGCAGGCAAATCTGCCGTTCATGAATAGTACTGCTTGTTTCGGAATATAGACTTGTTAAACTGATTGATCATGTTGAATATTGTAACAACTTTCCTGATTGTTGTTGCTGTTTGGAAGGATAGGAACGAAAGCCTATGGTTTTTTTGCCTTTTACTACAAGTTTGACAAAACACCTCAGTATAGTTTCACCAGCATTTTGCTCAATGACTTCCATGGTAGCGTCCTAGCATTGCTAATAATGAAATGCTTCTTATCCTTCAAAACATTCGTAAGCCAATATTCTCATATGCTAGATCATATTGCAACAAGGCTATCAAGTTCACATGGCAAACATCCAGAGTTGCATTACAAGTTGCCTCTTCAATGCATCAGCCTGTGATGGAAAATTTAATGGAGTATTCTTTGATTATCATCACTTCACCTTCCTATAGATCCAGTCATGTGAACGAGAAGATGGCTGTTTGGTTATAGGCAGACCATAATTCTAAACAAGCCCTTCAAAAATTAAAAAAGTCCCTCTAATTGGATTAACAGAGGTGATGTGCCTTCACCTCAAGTCTGAGCCAATAGAACCGGAAATATAAGTTTATCCCAACTGCAACCGAACAAAGAGATTTAAATGGTATTGCCTCAAGAGCTCCGTTACCTTTTCCTAGTCATCTACCTCCCCTCTTGTCAGATAACAAATTTTAATGTAAGCCACAATATCTTAATTATAGGCTAATTATCTTTCTAACTCCATCTTGCTCTTCTCCATTCTCAATGCTATCATCTATAGTCATCATTCAGTACTTTCATTTCAATCAATGTGGCAGTAAGCTGTAACAATCCATTTTAAGAAATCGGATAAAATTTTTGACGACCTAAAATATACCACAAATTTCAGATCCCTAGGATTTCAATCAAAATAATTTTATAAAATTCTACACAAAAAATCGATCAATTTAATATATAATACTATATGTAATTTTGAATGAATTGAAAGTTATAAAAATCAGAAGTTATATCTTAGTTAAACCTAATTAAAACTTAATTAACCCTCCATAATCTCGCATTATTGTTTCCAACTGACTATCCTGTCATTATATTTGATAGGTCGGTCAAAGAGGGGTTCGCGAGCATTTGATTTACCCCTTGTCCTCTCAATTCCCTTGCACGCCCTCCATCCCAGGAGCATTTGATTTACCTCTTGTCCTCTCAATTCCCTTGCACGCCCTCCATCCCTATTCGATTTACTGCTCAGCAAGAAAAGATCCTGTGATCTATTACTGTAGCAAGGGGCAAGCGATCACCTAGTAAGCCGCAAAGTGCCGAATCCTTTTTCCCCTCTCCAGATTTGTTCTTCCCGTGAGAGTAGCGCTTGGAACTGTAGCCACGCAAACTGAGAGGCGGCATTTTTGGGCTCCAGGTGAAATCAGTAATTGTGAAACTGATTTTAGTGACATTTGAGACTTTTATTTTCTTGTTATTTCAATTTTAAGTTTTGCTTCATGTTTCTTGCATTATTTGTTTCTAGTAGCCATTGAAGCTGTAGAATTTGCGTAAAAAGTGTTGAACATGGTTTACAAGCTCCGTAAAAGTTTTAGCACAGTATTGAAGAAGGAGAAAGGAAATTGGAGGTGATGGGAAGAAGAGAGAAGAATTTGTGGCGGCTTTGAAAAGGCAAAGTTGTGCCGAGAAACCTAGTTGAGTAAAGGAAGTTTTTTTCTTAAATTAAATTACCTTATGAGCAAAGATATTATGAATTCTTTAAGTCATTTAAGATTTAAGGTTGCTTACCTGAGGCAATAAGTTTGAGGCAAGCGCGAAGAAGATCGTCGTAGAACAACTCCATAAATCTTGATAAATATATGCTAATTATAAGATCTTTGATAAACTCGCTTGCATATTGAATTATTTTCCTTGGATTACTATAGTTTAGAAATGTGATTACCATGTGACATCTTTAGATAACTCATTATGTTGCTATAATGTTATTTTTAGATTTTAAAAATGTAAACAAAATGAATAGAAAATGATCAAATGTGTATAGAAGACGCGAATAACTAACAAAAATGTACAAGTTTATACTTGCTAATTTTAATCACTTTCTTTAGTTGATCTTTCATGTATTATTTGAATAGTTAATTCTTAGTGATAGAAATAGAAAAACAGAAAATTTATTTTCACCATCCGGCAGTCTGTTCCCATTTTGGTTAATTTCAAGCTCTAAACCTAACACACCCTTGGCCGATATTGTCCCGTCAGTTTCCATTGGCACAACGGTTTGCAATCTACATATCGCAATTAACTAGGGTAGAAAAGCCCTTACTGCCCCTAATTGATATTATCTCATCGTCATATCGGTTAGTAATGTAAACATTATAATTGCCTCGAGAGATAAACTTTGGTATGCTCGCCCCTGGTCAATATTATCTCATTGGCACAGCGGTTAGTGAACTATCACAATGCCTGAGGTAATAGAAAAACTCTACGTGCATGGGTACACTGGCGTCCCCTGTCTGTACTATTAGGGGGTGAGCACCTCGTTTGAAGATGCACATATAAGCATTCATATATAAGTTATTTCATTTTTCATACATATATTCTTCTGAGACATTTTTATGCAATCTACTAACATGCATACTTACTCTTACTCTGTTTTACAACTATCATCAGCCGTCTCTCACATTATTCATATATCTATCTCATGCATATCTCTTACCCATATCATATATATCATTTTCTAATGTAATTATCATGCATATATTTCCTATTATGTTTATCTTGTACATCATAACTATCATGCATATCATGCTCCACCTACATATCTTTTATGCATATTTTTTTATATCTGCCAATATGAAGAATTTATCATAATATAAATCTCACTAAACTGCAGCATATATATAATCAATATACTGAAATTTAGAAATGTAATTACTCATCTCAATTATCACGAGAGTAACTAGCTAGTCGTTGATAACCCTTCTGTTTATTTATATAATCTGAAAAATAAATTTAAATTTTAAGATTCAACCAGTTTCCGCCAATCAAATTATTCTTCTTAAATTAGCGTAGAATTATTTACTTAGATTTACGGAGCTATTCTACGA